AGTTTAATAATCTTTGCTTTACTTATTAAGGGTCCAACTTCACTGTTGGTCCCTTAAGGTGGTGCTACGGTGCTCGCTCAGCCAAGGGTATATGGTTTCCTACTCTTGAATGCATAACTAAGTGGGCTGATTTCCCATGTGCTGGAAAAAAACAACAAAAACATCTGTGAAGATGGGCCTCATACCCTGCACTTACATGCACTCCTCTGACCATGTAAATTCTGGCCCCCCACATAGAGCACTGAACCTAGGGCTGGCCATTCCTGGAGACCAATCTAGTTCCCAAGAGCTGGTCCTCACTGTAGCAGTTCAGGGGGCAGAGAAGGGGTCCCCGGACCAGCAGCATTAGCATCACCTGGGAACTCATTAGAAATGCACATTCTCAGGCCCCAGCCCAGGACCTTCAGAATTGGAACCTAGTGGGGGAGCTCCCCAGGTGACTGATGCCCTCAAGTTTGAGAACCACTACTGCACTGCACTAGCTATCAAACCGTGTTTGTACCCTCAGAGCCTGCAGGTGGCACTAAAGGCCGGCTGGAAACAAGTGGCTCAAGTTTTAACACATTAACTGCCATGTGAGTTGCATTTAACTCAAGCTAGTTTTGAGCCCAGGGCCTCGTGAGGCATATGTAACACACGTCTCTTTACCTTGAGAGAGCCATTTGAACTATTTTTCAAGTTGCATATAACTCACGCACAGAAAAACAATAAAAAATAATAAATTTTTCATTAAATGAGAAAGGATGGTTTTGTTTTTAAAGTTTTTATTCTATTTTCATAATAAAACACCATGTGAGCCCAAGGAAAAAAATTTTTTTTCTAGTGTGGCAGTCCATGTGTTAACTGTTACAGAACTTGCCTGCCTGACCACACAGTACTATCAGTTCCTTAACCGTTGCTCTGCCTCCCCCAATGTGTTAAACAGGAATTGGACTGAAATTCTTCTCACAACCGAGCAGTAGATATATTAAACCTACAATTTTCAGGGATGCAATCAATATTTAATTCTTTTGAAGGTTTTGTGTTTAATACAATGAGGATAAAAACACAGTTTAAGAATGAGGATGTCAATTTGATTAAACAGAACACCAAAATAAATAAAACTCAAATTATCATCAGCTAGTGTGTATATCTAAGTAACAATAATGCACTTGATTCCGAAAGAATGATTAGAGGTCCTACTCCGAAAATAGAATTGTATTGATTAAAATGACAAAAGTGAGAAGAAAGGAGGATTTATCTAACGAAAAGCACGTATATAGATAGCCCCTTCCTGGATTCTGCCAAAACCCTGAATTTTGCATTAGCTGTTTTACCATCCAAACATCTATAGTGAGCATGTGCAGCAACGGAAACTGCCATACAACCACTGTGCAAAACCATTTAGCAGCGTCTACTAAAACTAAACATACACAGTGAGCACCTAGGACCAGGCATTCCACTCTTGGATATATACCCTCGAGAAATGAGTGCCCGTGTCTACCAAAAGCCTCATAAAAGATTGTCCTTAGAAGTATAATTCATAATATTTGCAAACTGGAAACAATCCAAATGTCCATCCACAGTAGAAGAGATAAATATGGATATTCACACAATGAAATAGAAGCAGTAATGAAAAAACCAACCAACCAACAAACCAAACCACTACTACACACAACATGGGTGAATCTCACAGACTTCATGGATGAATCTTTCATGGAGTGAAAGAAACCAGACACAAAGGGGTACACTCTTACTCAAACAGGAGAACTAATCTCTGGTGACAGAGGTCAACATAAAGGTTACTGACGATATCTAGGAGCAGGCACGAGGAGATGCTGCTTGACTTGAGGGATGGTTACTGGTGTGTATATATACGAAAAGTTCAGTGAATTACCTGTTTCTAAAGGGGAGGAGTTAAACATACAGGCAAAAAACTGTTGACAGACTGTTATGAAAAATTTTCGATATCCACCATAAAAATCTAGATTCCTGGGAAACTATCAGTAGTAGAGTATATTTAATGCAAAAATACTCAGCATTAGCTGAGCTGTATCTCAAAATTAAACACAGTGAACAGGGGATTTTTTTTCTTCTTTCCAATGTATACCGTCAAATGTATCATCCATAAAATGGCCATGTGGCTTGCACTCCCTAGCCCAATTCCTTTTATTCTGCCACTTGCACTCCCTAGCCCAATTCCTTTTATTCTGCCACTTAATGGGTCCCTGCTTGTATGGCACCGGCTGTCTGGTTGTTATCCCAAGATCCTGCATGCCCTGAATAGCCCGTCACCATCCACAGGGAGGCTGAAAGGCCTGGCTCCCTCCTGTGGTCATTATCTCCCACCCCAGTGGCTTTGAATCACCATTGGCCTAACCGGGCCACCACCCAGCTTTCCTCCTGCCTCACCATCGCTGGCCTGTGCAGGCAGCGGCCGTGTTAGGACAGCGCACCGTCCCTGAGGCCACTCCGGGCCTACAGGATCCCTGGTTCCGACCCAGAAGGTT